TCTCTATAGGATGATATCTAGGTGAAAGGGTCTCTATGTGATGGGATTTATCTGGCATCAGTGACGTGAGACAGCTAGCAGACGGTCGGTTTAGCCAGTCTGTCTGCTTCCTGACCTGGTGCCCCAATTCATGTTTGAGCTCTAAGACTATGTGCCAAATTACTAGAGAGAAGAGCAGCACCATCCCAGGAGGGATTAATACCATCTCTTTTCAACAGGTCAGGTCTGCTCCAAAAACTTTTCCAAATGTCTATGAATTCTATATTATTTTGCAGACACCACTTAGACAGCCATCCATTGAGTGAGGACAGTCTACTATCTCATTACTTCTTCAAACAGGAAGGGGGCCAGAGCAAATTACAGTACCTGACATCGTACTTGAGAGTTCACACACCTCTTTAACGTTAATTTTGGTGATCTCCAACTGGCGAAGTCAAACATCATTAGTGCCGATGTGAATAATAATCTTAGAAAATTTACGATTTGCATTAGCCAGCACTTTTAAATTTGCTTTGATGTCAGGCGCTCTGGCACCTGGCAAACATGTGATTATGGTGGCTGGTGTCTCTATTTTCACGTTCCGTGTTATCAGTGTTGGGGAAGTTACTTTTAAAAAGTAGTGTTTTCTCGTTACTCGTTACTTCTTAAAAAAGTAATCCGTTACTTTACTTAGTTACCCCCTTTGGAAAGTAACTTTTTATGTTACTCGTCACTTTTACGTTACTTTTATGTTGCTTGACTTTGGGCAGAACCCAATATCTGTTCCTAAATGTGTAGGCCTATACATAAAATTCTACTATGAACTCTACTTATTGAAAAACTAGAAAAAAAAACTAGAAAAAAAGAGAGATTTTGAGATAGAAAAAAATATATATTTATTTAAATAACATTTGAAAAACCTGTATAAACTGAACACCAAACCACAATATTAACTATTGAGCGGTGGTGACGAGTTCATGAAAAATGTCACAAAGAACCGGCAAAAGAAATGATTATGAATATCAAATATAGCAAGGAGACATTTCAATTGTTTATTAATAAACAAGTGTTTTCTTTGTCAGTCAGTGTCGGCTGCAAAAATAAAGTTGACGATGCTGACTCGCGATCTTCACAGTAGTGAACGCGCCAGAGAGAAATGCACATTTCATATGGATTAGGCTACATAAGCAGAGAGTCTGTTTTCTCTCGTTTTGAATAGTTTTGTTTTAAAGTACACATTTCAAGCTTTCTATATATTTCTCAGATCTTTGAGGCAAGTAGCTTGCGCTAAGTTTCGGTTCATTTATGAGACGAGCTCAGTCCACGCGCGGCACGGAGCTCCTGAGAAGTCCTGATTATATTGCCTGCTATATTTACTGCTTTTTTATTAAAGACAATTGGTTGATGAAACATTGATTAAAATTAAGATACAATTAATACAAAACGAAATTCACTTTAAAGAAAGGCTTTCTACAAAACAAACTTAATGAAGTGGTCAAAATCATGTCTGCCCACTCCATTTGTCTCCCGATTGCGCATCTTATGCTCTTACTCATGCTTTTTATATAATCAATAGTGCTGGGCAATGATTAAAAAATTTAATCGCGATTAATCGCATGATTTTCTTGCGATTAATCGCGATTAATCACATTGTTACGCGCAATATTGAATAATGAATTCTAAAGTAGTGTATTGCGCACTTTTGATTTAATGTACTGCTACAAAAGTGCAATAACATGTGGTTTGCAAAAACTTTAAACAAATAAGGTGCTTTTATACCAGCAGTATTCCCTTTACACAGTATCAATACAATATTTCTTGTAAATCTCAACTTAAACATTAACGTAATCAAATCAAATATTTAAACAAAACTATTTGCCACTGCCAGGGCATTACCTTTTATCTAGCTTGTTAAAAAGAGTCCAGTTTTCTTTTTTTTCTTTTTTTCTGAACAGGTATCTTGTATCAGGGAGCAGCAGAAACAGTCTAGTTAAAGGGTCATGATCACTACTACAGATATAAGTCGACCAACGTTACTTCTCTGATAGCAGCTTAGGTTTGGTCATGGCATGCCATGGTTTCCCACGTAAGATTACATTAAACAGAGGTAAAGCCCAATGTATACTTCTGCGTCGAACTCACGCCGTAGCTGTGTAGCGCGCGTACCCTGACGTGCATCTCTCCAAAAATGTAACGTCAATTCTTCGCGTACTGCAAGCGCTGTGATTGCTAGAACCGCTCCCCGGGGTTCACACTCTCCCTCTGCATGTGTAATTGCGCGTCAACGCGGACAACGACGCAGATATATAAATGAAAACCCACGCGTAGTCTATAGCGTAGAGGCTCCGGTGTAGGTCCGACGCAGAAGTATAAATCAGCCTAGAGTGAGGTGAAGTGGTCGAGCACAGGTGCAGCGACAAGCGGGTGCGTTCCTGTGAAACTGTTGCGGTCATGCTCGCCTCACGCACGCGCGTTGCCGAAGTTGAATTTTGTACACGACGCGCAGCACAAATCATTGGAAGAGAGACTGATCCTTGGCTCGCTGTTTGTGAGTTTCCAGAATCTAAATAGTTATCAGGACATCAACAGGAGGGAATTCACATGGCAGAGCATCCCCGCTGAACTAAACGCAGGCCTATCAGGTAAAGTTATGTATAATTTTAATTTAATTAAAAAGGCTACAGCTGCGTAGCGCACAGAAGCCGTTGCATGGTTACTATCCATGGAGCGCCTGTCATTCACTCGCGGAGCGCTGTCTCCCTTTCTGTTCACCTGAGAGAACCTGCCAAAGCCTCTCCACTGCTTGTTTGGGTGGGTTATTTGCTGGCTGACCAACATCCCACCCCTCCTGTGATCATGGTTTGACTGTAGGCCTATGTGTATTCAGAGCCAGTGAGCAACGGACTTTCAAAATAATAATAATAAAAAAACTGCGTTAACGTGCGATAAAAAAACTGTCGGCATTAATTAATAAATGCGTTAACGCGATAATAACGCGTTAACTTGCCCAGCACTAATAATCAACATTGATGAAATTAAAAAATAAATTATTTTATTTAAACATAAATATGAAACTAAATCGTTTTCTTTAATGACTAGGCTACAACACGCAGGTCTATACAGAGAAATTTAATATCGGAGCGGGATTTGAGCGAACGCCGTCTTACTGTAAGCATGTGGGGGTAGAGGTACGATTTTCGAGCAATCATCGAATATTATTTTGCTTGATATGCCAATCCTTAATATTTGGTGTTTTAAATGCCTGTTTGAGGTCTCTGTGAAAGATTTAAAGCAGTCTTTTAGTGCCACTTTCAGAGCGGTCAAGTCCGAAGAACGTCCATAACATTGTTTCTTTCCTCATAAATGCGAACACGAAAAATTCAATACAAGTAATATTTTATGTTCTGTGGAGAGCCAACCCTTCTTCATCCGGTGGGAGTATTACTTTTGGTTTGCGCAGTGTAATTAACAGAATTGATTGCTCTGCTACCAGCCTCTGTCACGTACCATGTGGAGCTTGTGACTATTGCAAGCGCGCAGCTGAGGAGACAGTGTTGCTGTCAAATCTGTCCATGGGAAAAGTAACGTTGTGCGGAATTGAAAAAGGAACTACGTTTCGTTACCAAATTTTCAGTAGTAACGCGTTACACTACTTTTTACCCGAAAAAGTAGTTACTGTAACGCGTTACTTAGTAACGCGTTACACACAACACTGCGTGTTATAGAATCACCAATAACTAGGGCACATTCAACAGGATTCTGAGTGGGTGTTTCATTGAGTGGGGAAAACCTTTTTAATGTTGTAATTGGAACGGAAGAGCGGTGTTTTGTCCCGCGACTGCAGCGTCTCACGGTCACCCAGTTGCCCTGCTGCACGGGCTCTACAGCCGTAACTGAACGATGTACAACGTTCACTAAGCTAGTCACATCCAAAGCAGTGACTAAAGCCTTTGCACTCTTACTATCCTTGATTAAAGTTTGGATGCGTGACTCTGGTTTAGAAATCTTCTCCGTAAGCCTGACTGTCTCCCTGCATTTATCACATGTAAATCCTTCATTGCTGACAGAGAATGCTATACTATACATGTGACACGAAGTCCAAGTGACAAAAACAGGAGAAGACATTACTCACCGTGTTTGTTGACTGATCCTACTTACCTTAGTTGTTTGATAGACTCGTAAAAGGTGTGAGCGCACGCACAAGAAAAAAAAGACTGCAAGCACGGATGGCAGGTTAACAGGCTAGCGATATAGTAGTGTGTTGTGCTAGCGATAACGATTTAGATAAAAGCTAGCGATGTCAGATTAATGTGATAGGCAAAATTAGACAATATCTAATATATCTTGATGAATAAGTTAAATTTAGCAAATAAAAACAGCAAGGAATGATAGTAAATGGATATTCAAAACAGAAAGCTAAACGGAGCATACAGACGCAAACCAGCAGCAAGGCAGACCAAACCAGCAGCAAGGCAGGCCGATAGAGAGGGTATGCAAGACTGTAGCTCTCTAGGAGCAGGGAACCCCTGTCACAAACCAAGGAATGTTTTTATACAGAGAAAATACATTTCAGACAACATTTCAAATGCTGAACACAACAATTAATGTCTGCTGAACACTACCAAATTTTGTGCCAATGTCAAATAATTTATAAAATATCACACTTTATGAAAAATGTCAAAATGGCAGACTGGCAGTTTGTCTGAAATTTCATAATTTTGGAAGGTATGGTTCATAGGGCTGCCATAGTCTACCATTGGGGAGGAATAATAATAAGATAATAATAAGAAAAACAGCTGAAGCAATAGGGACTACCATCTGTGATTTGGCTAATACACACAAAATAATAATCAACAATAATATTTAGGGGACGGCATTGACTATTTTATTTGATGGGGGTGATAAGGGGCCTGGATAATGGCCCCAGAAACATTTAGAGCCACTGGTCTAAATGTTTTGATGTTTGTTGCTTTGTGCCATTAAACTGGGGATAAACATGTATTTGTCTTTTTTTACTTTAGATCCGATGCCACTGAAAGAGGAGAGTCAAGAACTGAATGATGTAAAGGAAGAGAAACATTATGATTTCATAACTGCAGAACAATATTGCTCACAGACTGAAAAGACGTCCTCGCAAAAAAGATGTCAAAATACTGGAACTAGAAGTTATTTCACCTGCTTTCAGTGTGGACAGAGTTTTAGTCAACATGGAAACCTTAAAGACCACATGAGAATTCACAATGGAGAGAAGCCTTACACATGTCCTCAGTGTGGAAAAGGTTTCACTAAAAAACATAACCTTAAAAATCACATGCGAATTCACACTGGAGAGAAGCCTTACACATGCCCTCAGTGTGGAAAGAGTTTTACTGGAAAAGGAAGTCTTAAAGAACACATGAGACTTCACACCGGAGAAACCCCTTACACCTGCCAACAGTGTGGAAAAAGTTTTACACATAAAGCAACAATTAAAATCCACATGAGAGTTCACACTGGAGGGAGCCTTTACACATGCCCTCAGTGTGGAAAGAGTTTCAGTCAACCTGGAAACCTTAAAGTCCACATGAGACTTCACACTGGAGAGAAGCCTTTCACCTGCCAACAGTGTGGAAAAGGTTTCTCTGAAAAAGGAAACCTTAAAAAACACATGAGAGTTCACACTGGAGAAAAACCTTTCACCTGTCAACAGTGTGGAAAGAATTTTTCACATAAAGCAACAATTAAAGTCCACATGAGAATTCACACTGGAGAGAAGCCTTATGTATGCTCTCAGTGTGGAAAAACATTTACACATCAAGGATCCCTTAATGCCCACACAAGAATGCATGCTGGAGAGAAGTCATTCACATGTGATCAGTGTGGAAAGAGGTTCAGACGTAAAGTAAACCTTGATTTCCACATGAGGATTCACTCAAGAGTGGACTGTTTTATATGTCATCAGTGTGGAATGAGTTTCACAGACAGCAATCACCTTAAGAATCATGTAATAACTCACATTGGAGAGAAGCCTTTCATGTGTCATCACTGTGGAAAGACTCGCTCAAACAAAGCAAACCTAAAGACTCACATGAGAGTTCACACTAGAGAGAGGCCTTACAAGTGTCTTCAATTTACACAGACCTGAAACGTCATTAGCGCCATTCTTCTGGTAAGAAATGTCAGTGTTCTTCAGTGTGACGAGGTTAAGAAAACTGATAATTTTCTAAAGATCACCTGTGCATTTACTCTGGAGGGATGCCACTTAATTGTGATCAGTATAAAAAATATATATTTTGTCATCACACTTACCATAACACCTAATAAATCATTCAGATGTGAGACCCTATTTGTGTTCTTTGTGTGAAAAGATTTTGTACTTGTTCAGCATTTTTAAATAGCACCATTTTACACTCACCTAAAGTATTATTAGGAACACCATACTAATACTGTGTTTGACCCTCTTTCGCCTTCAGAACTGCCTTAATTCTATGTGGCATTAATTCAACAAGGTGCTGAAAGCAGTTTTTAGAAATGTTGGCCCATATTGATAGGATAGCATCTTGCAGTTGATGGAGATTTGTGGGATGCACATCCAGGGCACAAAGCTCCCTTTCCACCACATCCCAAAGATGCTCTATTGGGTTGAGATCTGGTGACTGTGGGGGCCATTTTAGTATAGTGAACTCATTGTCATGTTCAAGAAACCAATTTGAAATGATTCGAGCCTTGTGACATGGTGCATTATCCTGCTGGAAGTAGCCATCAGAGGATGGGTACATGGTGGCCATAAAGGGATGGACATGGTCAGAAACAATGCTCAGGTAGGCCGTGGCATTTAAACGATGCCCAATTGGCACTAAGGGGCCTAAAGTGTGCCAAGAAAACATCCCCCACACCATTACACCACCACCACCAGCCTGCACAGTGGTAACAAGGCATGATGGATCCATGTTCTCATTCTGTTTACGCCAAATTCTGACTCTACCATCTGAATGTCTCAACAGAAATCGAGACTCATCAGACCAGGCAACATTTTTCCAGTCTTCAACTGTCCGATTTTGGTGAGCTCTTGCAAATTGTAGCCTCTTTTTCCTATTTGTAGTGGAGATGAGTGGTACCCGGTGGGGTCTTCTGCTGTTGTAGCCCATCCGCCTCAAGGTTGTGCGTGTTGTGGCTTCACAAATACTTTGCTGCATACCTCGGTTGTAACGAGTGGTTATTTCAGTCAAAGTTGCTCTTCTTTCAGCTTGAATCAGTCGGCCCATTCTCCTCTGACCTCTAGCATCAACGAGGCATTTTCGCCCACAGGACTGCCGCATACTGGATGTTTTTCCCTTTTCACACCATTCTTTGTAAACCCTAGAAATGGTTGTGCGTGAAAATCCCAGTAACTGAGCAGATTGTGAAATACTCAGACCAGCCGGTCTGGGACCAACAACCATGCCACGCTCAATTGCTTAAATCATCTTTCTTTCCCATTCTGACATTCAGTTTGGAGTTCAGGAGATTGTCTTGACCAGGACCACACCCCTAAATGCATTGAAGCAACTGCCATGTGATTGGTTGATTAGATAATTGCATTAATGAGAAATTGAACAGGTGTTCCTAATAATGCTTTAGGTGAGTGTAGGGCCGTTTCTCAATATGCGTTCTTGTCTGTACTTGTGTTCTTGTGGACTTGTGAAACGTCATCAGTCACTGCCCAAGTACTGTTCCAATTCAAAGTTCACATCTAGCCAAGTCCAGTTCAAATCCCCGGATGTGTTCTTGATCCGCCCCGTTTACCGAGGATGCACCGAGAGGTGACTTGTGCGGACTTGAGACAGCCAGGTATCCCAGAATGCATCTCGCACCAACCAGCAAGCGTCAATAGCAGAGGAGAAAACCCGCGTAATATCAAAATACTACTGTTATTGTGTCATGAAATGTAATTTTAAGAGTGTTTCAGGCGAGAATGTGGATGTTTAAAACTCAAATCTGTGGTTTATTTATAAAGATAGCGCCTATTTGAAAAATGTCTCTGACGTTTTCGGAGTTGTGACATCCAGGCGGTCACCGCGGGTGTTCAACGCTCATCAACCCCGACTGGAACAGCTTTTCCTCGGCTAGTGCGTCTGACGTTTGCCGCTGGCTCTGATGTCTCTAGTCTAGTGGATAAACTTGACGTATAATTCGTCTTGTGTATAAGTCGATCTTTGGTCTCATTAAACTATAGTTTGTTCCTTGGCAAAAAATCGTTTTAGCTAAGGGCAAAGTGAAGTTTCATAACTTTATATATTTAGGCTATTTAACTTTATCTTTGTAGCCTATTAGAGAGCTTACTTATGTTTGAATTGTTTGCCTTATTTATCATTGTAGATATTATTGATCATTAAAACTGACATTTAACAAAAAGAGACAGGGTTGTGTAATTTTATTTTATTTACTTTAATATATATATATTTTTATATTTATTTTAACATTCTCTTCACTATGTACAATAAAATAAAATGATACAACCCTGTCTCTGTTTGTTAAATGTCAATAAAAATAATGTTTCATATTTTTAAAATGAAAACAAAAAGATCATGTTCATGTTGTTATAAATATATGCAGTGAAGATAATACGCGTTGCCTGAACCACGTGGCCATTAGGCTACTATGTTTAAGATTTTTAAATGAAAAGAGGCAGGGTGGTGTTTTATAACATATTTCGTTTTGTAAGGCTGGTGCCGGTATGTCTGATCGACCCCTCAATGTGACAAAAGGCCCTCCGGGGAATTAACACTTGAACTATCCCTTGAATATGTAACTCCCTCTTGCATATGTAACAGGAACTTTGGAGAAGCAGCACGCAGTGCAGTTCACACTATCTTCCCCACATCCCCCTCCTCCTCACCTGAAATACACTGAAACCTTATGCAATGTTATGTGTGTACAAAAATGTGACTACTCATGTTTGGTGTCTTTTGATGTATCACAATGCGCCTGGTGACATGGTCTCATTCTCCCAACCATGATGAAAAGCTAAAAGAAGTTATGTAATGTGAGAAAAGTGATGTGTCCCATAATAGCCTCATTCAGACTACCTCCTGTATGTAAAATCAGGCAGACCTCACAGTGTGAGCCCCCGAATAAACAACCAAAATCTAATTATAATGACAGACATCACCATTTGGTAACAATTGAATTATCTGGGTTTATAAGGAAAAGCAGCAGAAATGTTCGGGGAGTCTGTAGGTTGACTGCCCACACAACCGCTGTGTGTAATTTTGTTGACAGGTAATAATTTCTACAAATTCTGTGATTTCTGAATTGATATGCTTAACTGATGATTTTATCCTCTGAATTGGATTTGAAATGATTACATCATTACCTGATCAATAAATTGTAAACGTTTGATTTTATTCTAACCGACTCTGAGAATTGTTTTCCCCCGAGTAGATTATCGGATTCGTATATTTCCACAAGTTTGCGTCAGAGTTTAGTGACGACTAATATCTGATATCAGATTCAAGTGTACTTGAATGAGGAGACGGGTAGTTTCCGTCTAGAATCAGCTAATGCTGTTTGATCTAGATTTGGGTACGTCTAAAAACCTCTGTTCTAATTTAATGTTACTTTAGATAAGTGCACGCTACTAAAGTAAGTTATTGAATTAAGTTCCTGAGGTACCATTCAAGGGGGCTGTGTATATGTCTTTGATTTTGTACGTGTGAATTACGGCAAATCCCAGACATTCAGCCAATTACCTCTGTTTTGATAATCGGAAACTGACGAGATTGTGCCGGAGACCTGGTGAGGAACTCAAAGTGATATAGTTTCCTGATCTAAACGGATAAAATATAATCAGAGTTTAAAGAATAAACAAACCTTCGCTAACGTTTAATGATGCACGGATATCATTAAAACCTTTTCATTTATGGAGTCAGATAATAACGAGATAATACATGAGAAAATATATTGCATTTAATCTTGTTGTGTTGCGTGAAAGGAAAGGCAAGTAATACGCAGAGTAACCTTCTACCGCTGATTGGATGCCGAGTTTGGACCAATCGAGCCGGACTTTACAGTTTTTATTGTTGATGAAAAGAGGCAGAGTTGTAGCATTTCGTTTTATTCTTGCCTAAAATATACATAAAGATAACCGGAGTAGCCAGAGCGTGCTGAGTGACGCGGTCAAGAACGCACTGTTCCATTTGCAGAATAACTGGACTTGCGTCCTCTTGTCCTCGGGAGTTCGTTCTCCTGAGTCGAACTTGGCAAGTCCGAACTGCCAAGGACGAAAGTCCGAAGTTTGCGTACTTGGTATTGAGAAAAAGTCGGTGTTCTTTTGCCTCGACCAACTCCCTCATTTTCATCATCAGAGTCTAGCTCCAATGTGTCCAATGTGTTAGCTGACAGGAAGTCACCTAAAATAACATTTACATAGGTAAATCAATCTTGACTCGAGATATTAACAAAATCGTTACTGTCGGTCTGACAGGATGCTTCGACCAATTGTGGCCTGGGACCTCGGCAAACTTCACTAATTTGTTGATCCTCTCATCGCTTGTGTAATTTGGCCAGAAAGTAAAACCGTCATTGTACCATGATTGAGGCACCACAGACACAGACTTCTTGCCATCAAAATATTGCACAACACAGAACATTCTTTTGAGAGAGAGAGAGAGAAAGAAAGAAAGAAAACAGCATTAGCCATTTACCGTGCCTGAAAAAAGCATTCTTCAGCCCCTGAAAATAATCAGGTTTCAAGTATGAATGGTGAGTACTTTTCATAAACCCTGTATATTGCTGGTGTGTCTGTTGTATATGCGTTTCTATTAACAAAATACATTTTACTGGTGTCATGAAAGTGTACTTACATGTACATAAAAAATGTATGTAACGTAGAAGATGATGCTTAAGAAACTAAAATCTAACCACAACTAAGAACAGACTATCAGCTGTAATACCACCCTACCCAAAAAATAATTAAATTTAGAATTTATCAAACAACTTATCCTAATTCAAAACCAGCAAACTACTTTATCATTTCACAGAATATAGAATTGGTATGGATGCAAAACCTCTTCTATGGGGGAGTAACACACATTTATATGCAACTGCACACACTTTGGCATACACTGTAAAAAATGTGACCAATGGTTACTTAAAAAATTTATGGCAACAAAGTGACACGTAATATAATTGAATAGATTTTAAGTTCTACATCTTTGATTAAAAAGTATTGAATAAATTAACTAAATTTAAACCAAAAAAAATGAGTACATGTTCATAAAAGCAACACTTAAAATGTGTTGAATTTAGTAATAGCATTCAAAATTTTAAGCCAAAATATTATTAGTAAATCCAAATCA